GTCAGCTGTCTCCCTCCTTTGCTTTCCCCAAAGAACAGAGCACGCTGGAGCTGCTCCGAAGAGCCGCTCCTTGGGGACACAAAGCCCATGGGTTTGTTCCCTGGTGCTTGCCAGGCACCAGAGGCTTCTCCTGGGGACACGCCACCGCGACCAGCCACCAGCTCCCATGTCCGGTCTCAAGCAAAGTGCACACCAGGTCCACAAGCAGAGCCGAGCTCTCGGGGTCCTTCAGCTAAGAGCATCTATTTTGCAAGGCTATCTTCTCCGAGACCGCAGCAGGAGCATCTGCCAGGGTGGAGCAGGTGTTGAATCGAGAAGCCTTGCAGGACATGACGCTGGAGCTCTTCTTCTTCCGGTAGAAGTAGCTGCTGAGGTGGAACCAGAACTTGTCATGGAGGGAGGCGTAGATGAACGGGTTGTAGCAGGCGGAGCTCATGGCAATCAGGTGACACGAGACCTGGATGACGTTGACGTACCTCTTGTCCAGGATGGTGAACTCCTCGTCGATGTCTCTGATGAAGTTCACCACCTGGAGGGGCAGCCAGCAGATCGCGAAGCACACCACCGAGACGGTGAGCACCCGGAAGGTCTTCTGCTTTGTTCTGGTCCATTTGTCCTGGCAGGGGTGGGCAGCACCCGGCACGTTCCTCCTCTGCAGGTGGTAGGTGATGGCACAGAAGGAGACCGACACCGCCAGCAGCGGGAGCATGTAGGACAAGAGGAGCATCAAGCATGAGTACAGCAGCCGCTCTCTCTCTTCGTGCTTCCAAAACTCTTCGCAGATGATCATGTCGTGGCCGATGGCGTTGAGGTCCAAGTAGTGGGTGTGCAGCGACGTGGGAACGGAGGCCACGATGGAGAGCAACCAAATGCAGGCCACGAGGCAGACGCAGGACCTGCAGCTTATCCTCCTGCGAATAGGGTACGCCACCACAACGTACCGGTCGATGGCGATGGCGGTGAGGGACAGCACCGACACGAAGACGGTGGTGGCCTGCATCAAGGTGACGAAGTAGCACATGAACATCCCGAAGAGCCAGCCCCGCACCTCGAAGGCGTAGGAGACGGTCAGCGGGACGCAGGCCAGGCACATGATGAAGTCGGCCGCCGCCAGGTTCCCGATCAGGAAGTTGGTGGTGCAGTGCAGCTTCTTGGTGAGAGCGATGAGGAGGATGAGGAAGAGGTTCCCCGTGCACGCCACTGCCACCAGCGTGGCGTAGAGCGGGATGAAGAGGGGCTTCAGCTCCAGGAGGAGGTCCAGGCCGGTGAAGAGCGGGGCCGAGCCGTTCTGCCAGGAGTCATTGGGCCGCTGGCCGCGAGCCATGCCGTCCGTCCCGGCGCCGC